TCAACCCTTTTCGGATAAGATTGTTTGTCACTACCCTGTTAACGTCTGTGTCAGATTTTCAGGGTCATAGGCGCCTTCTAACTTGCTGTTCTGCCATCCCCTATGCGCTCTTTATACAAGAGGCTACATTGTGAAAGATTGAAGCTGGCAGACAAGTAACAGGCCATGCCATAATTACTACTTTGGGTGGTTTATAGTTGGTTTCACTTCCCAGATTATGAAGGGGGATTAGCATTCCTCTTCAGATTGTCAAAAGACTCAGTAACTCACCCAAGTTTCAAAGGCAGAAACACAAGAGCAAATTTTCATCACCACTTTAAAAAAAAATGTATTGTGGATTCTGCCTGGGCTGAGGGCTCCCTGGAGCAGGGACACGTTGCTTCCAGGTAGGTAGCATCAGTGCACCACATTCTGCAACTCTCTGCTTCAAACCCCAGCCCCTTAAGAAATAATTTTGGAAGCACAGCTGGAAAAATTTCTCTGTTGCCTTTCTCAGCCCTGCTCCTTATTTTTTGATAGCTTTGGCCAGTGTCACTGCGAGAAGCAGCTGTCTGGAAGATGTTGCTACTCTTCAGCTCACTCACAGACCTGTAAACACACACACACACACACACACACCTTGCACCTCCCTACTGATCCTGGCAGAACCCGTCTTCTACCACATTCTTTGGATTTCTAACACCAACATGTTGTAACATTCAAGGTTCCTAGGCCAAAATTGTATCCATTTCTTGTTCTTTGAAAGAGACTGATAGTAGCTATTCTAGGTTTGACATTCTACAGATCTCCTGTTTTTCTTTTATGTTAAGAGGAAAACATTTCATTCACTGGGACCTCTCTTAATTTGCTGTATTTGTTTAGGAACCAATCCTTTCAAAACTGCTCCAGGTAGAGCCCTCAGCAGGTGTGCATGTGAAACGCATCAGAGAAAGACTGTGCTGTCCACGGTAAGACGAAAACATGCATCATTTTGAACGAGTGGAAAGGAAAGAAAAAGAGGAAAAGAGGGAGGAGGAAAGAAAAAAGCTAGAAAGGTCAGACTGAGTCCGGAATTGGTGGGTTCTTGGTCTCACTGGCTTCAAGAACAAAGCCGCCGACACTTGCAGTGAGTGTTACAGTTCTTAAACATGGTGTGTCCGCAGTTTGTGCCTTCTGATGTTCGGATGTGTTTCCAGCTTATTCCTTCGGATGGGTTTGTGGTCTCCCTCGCTTAAGGAGTGAAGCCGCAGGCCTTCACAGTGTTGCAACTCTTAAGGTGGCATATCTGGAGTTCTTTGTTCCTGTTCCTCTTGTCCAGAGTTGTTCATTCCCCCTCATTTCCCCAGGTGGGTTCATGCTCTCCTTGGCCTCAAAAGTGAAGCTATAGACCTTCCTGGTGAGTGTTACAGCTCATACGATCTGCGTAGACCCAAAGACTGACACCCAGGCAGTCCAAGGCGACCCCAGCGAGTTGCCACTGCTTGGTTTGGGCAGCCTGCTTTTATTCCCTTATCTGGCCCCACCCACATCCTGCTGATTGGTCTGCTTTACAGAGAGCTGATTGGTCTGTTTTACAGAGAGCTGATTGGTCCATTTTGACAGAGCACTGATTGGTGCATTTACAAACCTTGAGCTAGACACAGGGTGCTGATTGGTGTGTTTACAAACCTTGATCTAGACACAGAGTGCTGATTGGTGTATTTACAATCCCTTAGCTAGACATAAAGGTTTTCCAAGTCTCCACTGGACTCAGGAGCCCAGCTGGCTTCACCTAGTGGATCCTCACCAGGGCCATGGGTGGAGCTGTCTGCCAGTCCCGGGGCCCCGGCCGGCACTCTTCAGTCCTTGGGCGGTCGATGGGACTGGGCGCTGCAGTTCAGGGGATGGCGCTCGTAGGGGAGGCTTGGGCTGCTTAGGAGCCCACAGCGGTGGGGGAGGCTTGGGCATGGCAGGCTGCAGGTCCCGAGCCCTGCTCCGCGGGGAGGCAGCTGAGGCCCGGGGAGAATTTGAGCTCAGTGCCAGCAGGCCGGCACTGCTGGGGGACCCGGTGCACCCTCTGTAGCTGCTAGCCCGGGTGCTAAGCCCCTCACTGCCTGGGGCCCACGGCGCAGGCCGCGTGGGAGTCCACTGCAGGGCGGGGAGCTCAGGCATGGCGGGCTGCAGGTCCCGAGCCCTGCTCCGCGGGGAGGCGGCTGAGACTCAGTGAGAATTCGAGCATAGCGCCGGTGCACCCGCACTGCTGTCGGACTCGGTGCACCCTCTGCCACTGTTGGCCCAGGTGCTAAGCCTCTCCCCGCCCTGGGCCGGCGGAGCCGGCCGGCCG